GATGAGACAAGGGGAAGTTGCTGAGTCATGCATCTGATTTCCCGGAGTTGTCCCTAATATTCTTATTCAAGGTTTTAGAAAATAGTCAAGGTTTTAGAATTTGCAAACTGAAGCAGTTAAAGTACTAACATACACCTTCCAAAAGTACTGAAAGCTGCTTACTCATGCAAAGGAAAAGGAGGAGAGGTTGGAAGTAGCAAGTCAATTGTCAGGTGCCAATCTCCTTGCTTGAGTCCTGATTTTGGCTGTGAGCTTTGGCAGCTGCAGGTCCTGACTGCCTCTGCAGTACTTGATGCAGCAGTAGCAGCAGGTTAGCTTGCTCTGCAGAGATGAGCTTCTTCTTGGCTTGGAACCCAAATGGATTTTGTCAGCCAGTTAGCTTCCGTGTTGTTCATTCTTTAGGAACAGACCAGAGATGTGTTTGTAGTATGGAGAAGGCGTTTGGGTAATCAAGATGAATACATCTCAAGGGAATGCTTTCTTGATGCCACCTCAGAGTTGGGCGTTGGTATAGATATGAGCAAGTCTTGGTACTTGCTCCAAACTGATCACCGTCTAGAGGAATAGTGTCACATGGAACTTGCTGTGATGAGGGGACTGTTCTGTATGTCTTGTTTGAGTAAGAGCCAGTGAGTGCTGGAAATGTGGTTTGTGTGGTAGAGGAACTAAACTTGAAATATCCAATGAACTTGAATTTAAACAGCGACATATTACTGGTACTTCCCTGGTGTTGGACAGGACAAGGAAGTGGTGGAGAATGATTAATTAAATCCAAATGTAGAACCCCGCAGTTTCCCTCAAGACTCACACATTCCAATCAAGGCTTTGACAGGTGCTGGGTCGTGGCAAGATTCTCTGACAAGGGTTTGATTGGCCTTGTTTTTAAGTTTTGATTTGAAAGTCAGTATTATACACAGACAAGGAGTTACAGAGAGGTCTTCCATCTGCTGGTTCACTCCCCAAATGGCTACAATGGCTGAAGCTAGGCTGATCAAAAGCTAAAAGTTAGGAGCTTCTTGTGGGTCTCCCACACAAGTGCAGGGTCCCAAGGCTTTGGGCCATTCTCTGCTGCTTTCAGGTCACAAGCAGGGAGCTGGATGGGAAGTGGAACGGCTGGTACACAAATGAGCACTCATGGGATGCTTTCTCCACAGGCAGAAGCTACACAATAAAGTCATGCCGGGTATGCCTTGTTTCACAGCCTTATTACAGTGTTACCTTCAATTTTGACACCAGCTGTGCTGGATCAGTAAGAGATCATGCAAGTGTTCCCTCCCAAAGGTGGCAAATCCACTGTGATGCAAATGGCGTCACATCTCTCCTGGGTCTTCCTCAGGACATGTCTAAGGTCCCAGGGGACATTTCCAAAGTGACATTCCAAAAGAACATTTTTAGACAGCTATTTCTGGTTCCCTGTGGATTTCTTTGGTTAAAATTCCCGTGCAGAGGAATGAGATAACACTTCTGCTGAAGATGTATGAGAATTGTGGAGCTGTGAATGGAGCCTGTGAGGGGTCAGCTGTTTTTTAATAAAGGTTTCATGCAGAGAGCACCTCTGGGTCATTAATTCCCAGAATTCCTGTCTGCCTGCTCCTAGACTGAATGGTTTGACTGTATGGTATGTGGAAGGGATCTATGTGTCATCATTGGAGGTACGAACTACCTCTCATGAGACCATAATAAGCAAGGACATGTGCAATGTGATGATACTTAGAAATTTATGTAAAATGAAATAAAAACATTCATTTTGGTGCAAGTGAATTTCAAAACAGGTTTTTCATAGTATACATTTGCATAAACTTTTAAGACCTCTGGTACAACCATCAGAATCAGAAGTGACAAGAGGCATTACTGTCACCTAATTCTCAGACCACATTCAAGTGTCACCAGTTGGCCCAACAACGTTCAGTGCCAAGTGTTCACATATATTGTCTGCTTAGATTTCCCAGGTTTTTCTCATCATCTGAGTGTGTACCTGTCATATATAAACTTATGATTTGCTACATATTTGGTTTTCATGATTGAGTTCAGAATCAGTTGCAAACATTATACTCATTACCTCTCAATGCATTTACTCAAAACAAGGGCACCCTCTGACTATAGTCATTCCATCAAGATCAAGAAATTGACAATGATCCAGCAGTCCCCATTCATATTTTGCTGATTGTCACAGTAATGACCTTTATAGTTTCAGGATCCAATCAGGACCACCTGTTGGACTTAGCTGCCGTAATTTCCCTAATCGCAGGGATTGCACACTGGCTGCTTGTTCAGTGCTAATTGCAGCTGTGTTATGTTTTGTCTGTTTTGCCATGTATGATGGGTAGTCTGGAATGATACTCATTACTCCCTTAGCTGAAAGCATGAGTCCACCTTTGAATTCAAGGAGCTAGTTTATGTGCTGTGACTTTTCTTGGTAGATTATATGCTTTATTCACACAAGATGATCTTTCCCTATTTGGAGACTTAGGTCTTGAGTGTTCCATTATATTAATAGCACCACATCTATTTCCTTCCTGCTATCATTTGCCTAATATATTTCCCTAATCTGCATTTTTGCCTTGTTTTTCATGTGTATTTTTTACATATATATATAGTTATTAGCATATAATTAGGTACATTTTAAACATTTGACTTATAGGGCAATTTGGTCCACCTATATTTTCAGTTTGCTGATATAAGCGCACATATTCCTGTTAAAGTTTGTGTATTTTTAAAATTTCTAGTTTTTTATTTATATAAAGGGAAAAAATCCCATGTGTTTAATACATACATATTTAGGAACATAATATTTCCCTTTCCTCCTTGCCCCCACCCACCCTTTTTGTCTTCCACCCTCCCTCCTTCCTTTCTTGTTTTTCTTTTAATTTTTACAATGACAGTTTTTTCTCTAAAAAATATTCTTTCTGTATTTATTTGAAATGCAGAGTTACGGATTTAGGGGAGACAGAATCTTCCATCTGTTTCACTTTCCAAATGAGTGCCATGGCCGTGGGTGGGCTGGAGGCTTTTTTTTTAATGGTGTCCTTGTCTGACTTTGGTATCAGATTAATGTTCGTCTTCTAAAATGAGTTTAGAAATGTTTGCTGTTCTTCAGTTTTTGGTAAAATTTGGAGAAGGACTTGTTATATTTTTATTTGGTGAGATTAAGCAGCAAAGTCGTAAGGTCTTGATTTTTTTTTCTAAGCACATTTTCTGTTTTTAAAGATTAGTTTATTTTTATTGGAAACTCAGATATACGGAGAGGAGGAGAGACAGAGAGGAAGATCTTCCCTCTGCTGGTTCACTGGCCAAGTGGCAACAATGGCCGGAGTTGAGCCAAACTGAAGCCAGGAACCAGGAGCCTCTTCTGGGTCTCCCACGGAGGTGCAGGGTCCCAAGGTTCTGGGCCATCCTCAACTGCTTTCCTAGGCCACAAGCAGGAAGCTGGATGAGAAGTGGAGCTGCCGAAACACAAATCGGTAGCCACTAGCTAACTAGCTACTGTGCCAGGCCCCTTGGTCTTTTTTTTTTTTTTTTTTTTTATAGCAGGTTTCATATTAAACCTTCTTGTTAAACTTTCTTGCTTCTGGGTTGTTCAGGTTTTCTGTTTGTCCTTGATTCCATCCTGACAGCTTACACATTTCTAGGAATTCATTCATCCAGGTTGCCCAGTCTGTCATTGTATAGTCATTTATATAGTCTCTTATGGTCTTGTATATTTCTGCAATATCAGTTGTAATGTTTGTTGACTTCCTTTAAAGAAAACTCCATTTATTTTTCCAGTGTTCATTTGTGTTCTTATTTTTGTTTCGTTTCATTTCTAAAATTGAACTTACTTTGGTTCTGTTCTAGTTTATGTTAAAATGATTGGGGACCTGGCACGATAGTCTAGTGGCTAAATCCTCACCTTACATGCAGCAGGTTCTGATATGGGTACTGGTTCGTTTCCCAGCTATTCCATTTCCCATCTAGCTGGGAAAGCAGTCAAGGATGGTCCAAAGCCTTGGGACCCTGCATCCCCGTGAGAAATCCAGTAGAAGCTTCTGGCTCCTGGCTTCAGATCCACTCAACTCCTGCCATTGCCATTATGTGGGGAGTGAACCAGTGGACGGAAAATCTTCCTCTCTGTCTCTCTCATCCTCTCTGTATATATCCCTTTCCAATATAAATAAATAAATCTTAAGAAAAAGTACGTTTAGGAAAATGGATTGTCTTTAAAGAAAAAAGTATGAAATGATGGATTATTCTATATGTTTCTATAGAAATGATGTAGGCATTTATTGTTACAGTTACCTCATTAGGTCAGGATTGCTTTTGGTATATATCATCTATAAATTTTGATATGTTGCATTGCCATGTTCATCCATCTAAAGATTTCTTTCATTTTCTTCATATTCTGGTGATTTGGGAGTGTGTTGTTTAACTTCCACAAATTTGCAAGTTTTCCAAGAATTCTGCATGTGTTACTGATGTCTGCCTTCATATCATTGTGTTCAGGAACTATACTTGCTGTGCTTTCCATTTTCTTGAATTGCTTGAGATTTATGTTGTGGCTAACATATGTTTAATCCTGGAGAATTTTCTGTGTGTTCTGTTTTTGGATGGAATGTCCTGTTTGATGTAGTTCCAGTCCAATGTTTTTGTACTGATTTTTTTTAAATCTAGAAGATGTGTCTAATGTTTAAAGTGGGGTTATTACCTCTGCTATTAGTGTGTTCTGATCCTTAAATATATTTTGATATTTACTTTATGTGTGCTCCAATGTTGAATGCATATATAGATTGTTAGAACTTTTTGAATGCATCCCTTTTATTATTCTGTAACAGCCTCTTTGAATTGTGCTGCTTTGACTAGTGCATCCTAACCTGTGCATACCTATGCTCAGTCTATTGGTTTCTATTTGTGTGGAGTATCTGTTTTTTTATTAACCTCTTCAACTTTTAAAGAGAAGCAATCTTGTCAAGGGAATATTTCAGTATTCTGCACAAAGTTACATTTAAAACTTTTCATTTTTTTAGGATGTGGGGACTTGGATTTCAATCTGGAGGATGCTCTGAGAGAGACGACAACAGTAAAACGTGAGTAGCAAAGCAAAGCTGGAGCAGAACGCAGTAGTTACTGTTGTTCCCATCCAACTCAGAACATAGTCAGGAAGAACTGGCTGTAGCTGGGATTCACTTGATCAGATGAAGTCAGTTACCAGAAGTTCCATAGCCCTAAAATCTAAATAGATGAAATTATTTCAGCTCTCTTAACACTGTGCAACATCTGATACAGCATTTCCTTCAAGTCCTTGCTGCTGTTAGCATGACATGCTGGCAGTGGCTTCCAAGAATAAATCTTAGGAAAAAGCATCTTTTGCATGAGATATTTGTTTTACCTTTTAGATTGTTTGATATAATGAAGTTCCTTTTTCTTTTTTGGCATGGTGGTGGTTCACCAGACTATCCTTTTTATTTTTCTTCTTCTTTTTTAAGTGTAATATCCGGGCATTTTCTTCTGTTTAAAAGATCTGTTTATTTACTTAAAAGGCAGAGTTATGGAAAGACAAAGAGGGAGAGATCTTTCAAATGCTGCTTCACTCTGTGAATGGCTGCAACAGTCAGGGCTGGGCCAGCCTGAATCCAGGAGCTTCTTCTGGATCTCTCAAGTCAGTGTCAGGGACCCAAACACTTGAGCCATCCTCCACTGCTTTCCTGGGCCATTAGCAGGGAGCTGGATCAGAAGTGGAGCAGCTAGGACTCCAACCAGCACCCATATCAAATACTGACAGCCTTGCTGCTATTCTAAGACACCAGCCCCAACATTTTCTTCTTTTTAGAATATGTTGTTTACTTGGAAGGCAGACTGACAGGGAAGAGAGAGACAGAGATCTCCATCTGATGAGTCAGTTCCCAAATGTCCACAATAGCCAGGGCTGAGCCATTTCATAGCCAGGAGCCAGCAGTTCCATCTGTTTCCCATATGGGTGGCCAGGGGTCAAATACTCCAAGTCATAATTTCCCTCCCTGGAATTTTTTTTTCTCTTAAACGGTTTGCTAATGATTTATGAATTCTGATGTTTAAAAAACACTTACTTACTTGAAACGTAGACTAACATAAACAGGGAGAGGTAGACATCTTCCATCTACTGTTTCACTCCCCAAGTGGCCAGCAGGATCAGCAGTCTAATATGGGATGCTGAGTATCACAGGTGGCAGCTTAACGTACTGCACCATCACAATGGTCTTGGTGATCTTTTAAAACAAATTTTCATTTTATCGAATTTTTTACTCTATTTTCTGTTTCACTTAATTCTTCTATAACCGTCAGTATTTCCTTCCTGATTTAGGTTTACTTTGTTCTTTCTCTTGTTTCTTAGTGTGAAAGTTGAGGTTATTGATTTGAGTCCTTTGTTTGTAATATAAGCATTTACAACATAACATGTCAGTTTTAGTATGTCATTTTTCATTTGCATTCATCTCCAAATATTTTATAATTTCCCTGTGATTGCTTCCTTGACCTGTTGATCATTTAGAAGTGTGTACTTAGATGTAAATGTGATTAGAGATTTTCTGATTTTCTGTTGATGCTTTCTATATTCAATCCATTAGCCACAATTTATGTCTTCAGGTTTTAAAAATTAATTGGGACATGTTTTGTTCCCTATGTACAGTCTTTCTGGGAGAGTGTTTCATGTGAATTTGAGTAGGATACATATCCTGTGGTTAATGGATGGTGTGCTCTGTAAATGCCCATTGGATATAAATGGTTTATAGAGTTCAAGTCTGGTATTTTCTGTTTGGCTGTTGGCCTGATTGCTCTTTTTCTCATTGTTGCATTGAGCCTTTCATCACAATAAAATGCCACTGTCTGGCTCTGGCAAATTTTAAGTTAACGTCTATTTAATCTGGTATTTGTGTATCTGCTAATACTGTCTGACATTAGGATAGTTGCTTGCATAGTCTTGATTTTTTTTTTCTAAAAGAAACTATTGGAAAGCTTGTGCACATTATAGGTTTTCTGAGGGGTGCAATTTTTAGGGGAATATGGTTCAACCCAAAGTGTTGATATTTGTAATAGTAATCATACTTACAGTAAATTATTATGTCTGTGTTGTGGCAACTTTGAATTTATGGAATATTCCAATATTCCATTAGGAACATAACCTTGGTCCACCTTTTGGCAGTATTATCTGTGTTTAAAGTGCTAGGTAGGTAGTGGTGCAAACCACAGCCTAGAGCTCTCAAGGATCATGCTTAAGCTGTGGAACTCCCAGGACCACGTGGCAATGTCTGACAGAACTGGGCTGAAGACTTGGCTCCATTTGTCACCTGGTCAGATGCAAGACCATGTCCACCTCATCATCACCATCCTCCAAAGAAACATGAAAAGAACCAAGCTCATTCAACTTGGAAATATTTTGTGTCCTCCTCCTTGATGTGACTCTAGGGAGGCCTGTCAGGATACATCAGGCAGGATAGCTGGGGCAGCAGAGGCCCGTGGGAGCCTGCTGAGAAGAGGCTCCAGGAAAGAGGAGGAGGGGGGCCTCTTGCCCAGAGCGCACTCTTGTCCCAGGGAGTCCTTGGATGTGCATTCATGCTCTGCTTGATGATAGGCGAACATCTGTGCTCTGTCTAGTCAACCAAGGACAGACAGCGCTCCTTATCTACTCCCAACTTCAATAATGCTTGGACCAAGTCATCTTGTTAGCCTTTTTGAACGCTCGGCTCTCAGACATGATCTAATTCTGACTTGTGTCTGAACAGTTGTTTTACTAAGTATATGAGAACGGGAACCCTGGAAATCAACTTTGTCAGTTGCCCAAGACAGCACTGTCCCCCCATTTCTTTTCAGTCACATCTCCTCCCCAGGAACTGCAACTGGCATAGAGGACTTAGAGACTATGACAAGGGTATTCCACATATACTGTGAAATTCCCAGTTGTGAAGTAACTGTTGCTTTTTGTTGTTAAATGTGCTCCCTTGCTGTCCTTCTTCCACGCTCTAGGGAGATGGGACTACATCCCCACTACCACGACCAGGAGGCCAGGAACAACCAGAGCTCCAGCAAAGCCTGCAGGTGATGTACTGCCTGGGCAGCCCAGTAAGGAAGGGTCTGGAGAATCACCCTGGGGGGGGGGCGGGGGAGTGTCCAATGAACAACATGTGTATGAGGCCAGCCAAGTCTTCTGTGAGAAGAGGCTTAAAAGAGTACATATTTATTTATTTGATCATGATGCCTTTTGTGTTTCTATGGAGTCTTGCCCTTTAAGATCTCAAGGAGAAATTAAACTGTGACTTCTTTACAACAATTACAGGAAGATGCTCTTGCTTAAGTTTTATGAAGTTCATCAGTGTCTTTTCCTTAGTCAGGTGGAATTTTCTGGAAAGTCTAATACCCATTCATTCACTCCTCAGATGCCTACAGCAGTTGAGACCAGGCTTAAGTCACGGGCTTGGAACTCAGTTCAGATCTCCCATGGGGTGGAAGTTACCCAGTTATTTGAACCATCAGTAGTGCCAGTCCCCATGATCTACACCAGCATAAAGTGAGAATAATGAGCCCGAACATATAAAATTCATGTAATGTGGAAGTGGGATACTGGTGTTGTGTGTGTGTGTGTGTTTCAAGATTTATTTATAAATCTGGTTACAGAAAGGGAGAAGGAGGGAGGTCTTCCATCCATTGGTCAAGTAGCTGCAAGGATCCAGGAGCTTCATCCTGGTCACCAACATGGATGTCAAGGGCCAAGCATTTTGAACCATCATCCATTGCTTTGTCCAGGTCATTAGCCAGGATATGAACCAGTGTCTGTATGGCAGGCTACATTGTAGGCCATGGCTCCAACCACTCTGCCGCAAAGTCAACCCGATGCTGGTATTTCAGCCAGCATCTTCAGTAAAATGTGGCTCTGAGATTGTGTTTCTTAATGTGCTCTTTCGGTAAGGTGTTGCGGTGTTTGGTGCTTGTTTTATGACACTTCCTACAGTTTTTTGAGCCTTTAAGTAGATGAACCATTTTATTTTGGACATCTTTACTTGGCCTTGGGATTGGGAACACACTCATTACTGCCATTCTGCAACTTGTTACTGATACTTGAGGGGAATCTAAATGTGCTCTGTGCAGTAGAAAGCTGTTTTGATTTTCCCCATATCATGTTTTTGTTGTTGTTCAAAAGATGTATTTATTTTTATTGGAAAATCAGTTACAGAGAGGAGGAGAGACAGAGAGGTCTTCCATCTGCTGGTTCACTCTCCCAATGTCCACAACGACCAGAGCTGAGCTGATCTGAAACCAGGGGGCTTCTTCCAGGTCTTGCACTTGGTACAAGGTGCCACCAACTTGGGCCATTAGATGAGAGCTGGATCAGAAGGGGAGCAGGTGGGACTCAAACTGGTGCCCATATGGGATGCTGACAGTGCAGGTAGAAGCTTAGCTTGCTAGACCTGTGAGCTGCTTTGATTTGTCTCATGTCTTTTTGTTTCCACATTCAAATGGGTGTTTTGTGATGATTTACCCAATCTTAATCTCTGCACCTGTTTGTGAATCTTGGGCTAACATTAGTAAGTAAGGATGAGGGGATCTTCACAAAGTTCATGGTAATAAATATATTAGTCGAAAGAGTATGCATTTAGGCCTGGCGCAGTAACTTAGTTGCTAAAGTCCTTGTCTTATATGTGCTGGAATCCTATATGGGCACTGGTTCGTATCCTGGCTGCTCCACTTCCCTTTCAGCTCCCTGCTTGTGGCCTGGGAAAAAAGTCAAGGGCACTCCAAAGCCTTGGGACCTTGCACCTGCTGGGAGACCCAGAAGAAGCTCCTGGTTCTCGGCCTCAGATTGGCTCATCTCTGGCCATTGTGGCCACTTGGGGATTGAACCAGCAGATAGTTCTTTCTTTGTGTGTCTGCTTCCTTGTGACTATGACTTTCCAATAAAAATCTTAAAAAAAAAAAAAAAAGAGCATGCATTCAGCTCAAAATCTTTTGCACCAAATTGATCACTTAATTCAAGTTTCTCTGAACTTTTGGAAATATTGGCATGTTGTTAAAATGATCCAACTGCTGGCCAAAGAAAAGCATACTTACGTGTAAAAAATCAGTTCAAAAACAGGTAATATACTTCAGTGTCAGAAAACCAGCCATTAGCATTGTTTTAGAGTCAGATTTTAATTTGCCTAAATTCCTTGTACTGATTAACTGAGCCCAAAGGCTTTTCTTGTTTTGGATTGTTGTACACACTTGTCAATCATTTTGCTGTTTCCTTTATGCAGGTGATGATTTTGACTTGGCCGAGGCCTTGGGTGATGGAGATGACGGCGGCAAGAAGCCCAGTGCAGGAGGAGGAGGTAAGTCTGGCTGGTGGAAACCACTGGCCGGCTCTGGTACTGCCTGGTTCTATCCAGTCTCATTACCTACAGCAGCTTGCATGCCTCCCCGGCCTGGCAGGGTTGCAAGTGCTGCCACCCCGGGAGACTGTCACAGAGTGGGGAGTGAGCATTATGGTCTCGGAACTGTGCATGTGATGTAGGCTCTTCGGAGCTTTTCTTTCTGTTGGTCTTAGCTATGCAGGGCTCTCATCTTAGTACCTCAAATGGAAAACACTTTATCCAGAAATGGGCTTCAGCAAACAACAAATAAACTCACATTTCATTATGCAAAGTCAAAAGACATATTTGTCTAAATTGTAACCCATTTCATTACAAAAAGTCTAAGTACTGAGAAGCTGTTTAACTTGCAGTGTTAGATACAGATTTTTAAAACTATTGATTTTTGCTTGAAATTTGTAAGGATTTATTTGTTTTATTTAAAAGGAATATTTGGAGAGACAGAATGAAACTCTGTACCCTGGGTCAGTCCCCTAATGGCTGCATCGGCCTAGGTTGGACCAGGCCAGGAACATGGAACTGCAGCAGTGTAGGCTCCCACACAGGTAGCAGGTGTGCTGCTCCTTCCCCAGCTGCTTTAGCAGGAAGCTGATGTAAGTGGAGCAGCTGGAATTCACATCGGTTCCTGTATGGGTTACTGGTATCTCTTAGACTGCAGCTTTGTCAATTGAACTTGACACCACAAAACTGCCCCCTCTTCAAATCGTAAATAGCATCTATGATTTTCCTTCCGTAAGAGACTCATTTTAGTAATTTGCAAGAAAAGACCTGCCACATGTTCAAGCTGACTAACCACAACTTACCAATCAAAATCTTCACATATTTGTTAACTAGCCTACAATACATTATGCCAAGGAGAATCTTTAAAACAAGTGGCTATGGATGCTCAGATATCATTGCACAAGTGGCTTTTCAGGTGTCAGTCGTTATGTCCCATGTCTTAATCTATTTTGTCTGAATATTAAAATATCTTGATTTGATTTTTTTCTACTTTATTAGTTCCCCAAACTCCTATTAATTCCCAAAACTCAACTAGACCACTGGACTCAGTTCTTGCCCACAAGGAAAATCACAAGATAGGTCTTCTGACATTGGAGTGCATATTCGGACTGGGCCTCCTCAGTTGCTGATGCCTGTGCAGTGGACAGTATGTTCAGATGCAAGTGGGGGACATAATAGCCAGTTCAACTAGATCAGCAGATATCGACTGCCTCGTCAGAGGATAGACGGCAGAACAGGCTGGACAACAATCCTGGCTATGTAGAAGCATGTTCCTGGGTCTGTGGATGCACCAAGTGGACTTTGTCACCTAATAGACCTTGGGAAGATTTTCTCAACCTTGGAGAAATGACACCAACAACTTCTCAGAACTTTCAAAACCACTGAAGTAACACCCTTAGAACATACTTCCCCACATTAGATCTCTAAAGCATCATCAAATGACCACCCCCAGTGCTGATGTAGTTTGACAGCAAGGAGCGGCCCCTCACCTACCCTTCCTCTCCTGTGGACAGAGAACAAAATCAAAACATTTGTCTCATCCACCTTCCGCCATAGCTTGATCATTCCTACCCTAATTGGAGGCCCATATGGGTGTGCATGCCTCTCAACTGTGTAAACAATATTTAAAATAGGATTTAAAAATCACACACACTAAAAGAAAGTGGAGAAACTGACTCGAACAAGCGCCCCTATGGGATGCCAGTACCACAGTCAGAGGATTAACCTGCAATGCCATAGTGCCAGGCTTGCAACCAGCACTTTTTTGTTTTTGTTTTGTTTTACTTACCAAAACACAATCCTGAGGCCCTATCTAGATAAGATCAGCACTGTAGTTAAAATGGCTATGAGCAGTTTGGTGATCATGTTGTTGACTTGTAAATCTTGTAGAAGTGTTTTTCTTCTTTGCACCCCCATTACTGTTTCTTTTCAGATGTTTGTGCACTACCATGTGTGCCTTCCCACCTATACTTTCCATAGAAGAGCCACAGTGTAGTCTTGTAAAGTTCAAGAAAATGAACTATATGAAAATTCAGGGCAGCTATGGTGCGAGGTTTATATGGAAGGAATCTAAATTCAGGATTGCTAATCTGTAAGAATTAGGGCAACAGGGATCTTTCCTATTGGTTTGACAGGAATCTGAGTTCCAGGAGATAATGCTTACAATAGTAATGGCAGCTGTATGAAATGGCGTATTGTGACTGTCTTCCATGTGTGTGATACTGCTGTACTGGGAGTGTGATCTCAGGCCACGTCTGGGCATCGTGCTCTGTGGATGACGTGCTAGGTGGATGGTGGTAAAAGGCACAGCTCAGGCTGCTCTAGGGTCATGTTCAAGATGTTCTCTGTATCATGTGCTAATGTCCTACAGTTCTGGGTTCAGGCCCTGCGTCCACCTCACAGTCCTTTCCTCATTCCTGAAGACAAATGAAAGGACTTGCTGTACTTCATCCACTTCTGTAGCTGCTGCATTGGAGGTTGTAGGCCAAGATAAAGGAGCTGTCTTCTTCAAGGGACTTTGTTGAGGCATGCAGTGACATCTGCATTTTGTAACTAACTGTGCCCCCTTGCTACCCTCCTCTGCTGTCTAGAGAGATGGGACCACATGCCCACTACCACAACCAGGAGGCCAGGAACAACCAGAGCCCCAGCCAAGCCTGCAGGTGATGTACTGCCTGGGCAGCCCAGTAAGGAAGGGTCTGGAGAATCACCCTGGGGGGGGCGGTGTCCAATGAGCTGCGTGAGGTTGGACTAATTGGCTGTCTTGTTTTAGGACCTCCTAAAGCTGATGAGTTTGACTTGGCTGATGCCTTGGATGATCGGAACGATCTGGTCGATGGCCACAGGAAGCCCAGTGCAGGAGGAGGAGGTAAGTCTGGCTGGTGGAAACCACTGGCCGGCTCTGGTACTGCTTGGTCCTATCCAGTCTCATTACCTACAGCAGCTTGCATGCCTCCCCGGCCTGGCAGGGTTGCAAGTGCTGCCACCCCGGGAGACTGTCACAGGGTGGGGAGCGAGCATTATGGTCTCGGAACTGTGCATGTGATGTAGGCTCTTCGGAGCTTTTCTTTCTGTTGGTCTTAGTTATGCAGGGCTCTCATCTTAGTACCTCAAATGGAAAACGCTTTATCCTGAAATGGGAATCGCTAAATCCATGCCTCTGCAGATACTTATGATGAGAAATGACTGGCAAGATAGAAGCAAAGTTAGCTGGGCAGAGAAGAGCTGCTTCACACTTGGGCCACTCTCTGTGGTGTCTGGCTTGATGGAGGCCCATGGGTTGTCACCTGTGGTGTGTGCCTTGGTGACGCGGAGCAAGGCAAGCCAGCCTCATGCAGACAGCTGGCTGTGGGAAGACAATGATGCTGTAGACTGTTGAGGTCACCGTGGGCATCCTTTGGCCTGTGGCCGTTTCTTCCAGGGTCCATGTAGTATGCGGTGGGAGTGCACCAAGGAGCTCTGCCCACTTGGTTCCTCAGCTCCACTGGATGCTCCTGAAGTGATCTTTGACCCATTCGTGTTTGGCAGTGTGTGTCCTGCACCTGTCACTTGGCAAATACTGGTGTACACAGATATTTTGTTTGAACTTCCAAAGTAGTCCACATGATTTTACAGAAAAAGCAAAAGTTGTGTTTGTCTAAATTGATACATGTCTCCCTGCAAAAAACAAAAATAAAACAAAACAAAAAAACTCTTAATGCTGTTAAAATCTCATTGGTAGATATAGCTTTGAAAAATCCCAATTTCCCTTGAACTCTTTGACAATAAATACCACCAGTGATTTTCCTTCAGTTTATGGGCTTATTTATTTTCAAGGTAACATCTGCCAAATATTCTAGTTGGCATGTCCTACTTAGTCCATCCTTTCTATGTAAATCAATTTTTGATGGCAGAGCAGCTAATACAAGGGGAGTTCAGAAAGTTTAAGTTGGAGTGAAATGAGTTTATTTTGTCTCAGATTTTGTAAAGAATATGTAGGAGTTTTTTTTTTCATAATAAGCCTTTTCTAATTATACAAATGGGAAATGGAACAAGCCACCCGAGTACCTTTGAATCATATGAATAGAGTACAGTAGAACTGCACTAGGCATCCTTGCCATTTCAGCACACAGAATTAGTAAAAGGCATGCACCCAGTGGTGTGGTTTTAATATAGTTAATTTTTCTACTTCCGTACATTGCTGCATACCAATCACAAGAAACTTCGTAAATGAAGACAACAGCTGTTTATTATTTCACATTTTCCTCTGGTCAGAAGTTCAGGAGCAGCTTGACTGAATTTTCTCTGCAGGAGCTCACTCAGCAGCAGTCAAAGTGTTGAGCAGGGCTGGGGTCTCACATCAGACCTCATCAGTTTCTTTCCAGTTCAGGTGATGCTGACAGTCCATTTCCTGCAACTGTGAAACAGTGGCTCCCTGCTTCTCCAAGACAAGCAAGAGAAGGATGGAGTGGGAGAGAGGAGAGCAAGGTGCTTCTCTTGCCTGAGCTCAAGGAAAACCTAAACCCAGTGGGAAAAGGATCCCAAGGCTCTGCCAGGCCTACCCAGGATCATCTCCTTTTTGAGTATTGCACAGTCGCACTAATTTGGCTCCATCTTTACGTATGCAAACTCCTTCAGCATGTGAGCTCATGTAATCATGGAGAACATGACTGTCATGTCCATGTGCCCAGTCACGCTGAAGGTGGATGACAGTGGTGCTGGGTGTGCATGCTCGGACGAGGCAAGCTTGGAGTCCTCATCAAGTTTTGCTCACTGTGTTCATCAATTTGCCATGTGTTAAAATGCTCTGGTAGTCATTTCCTGCGAATTTTGGGCAGCATTTGCACAGGTTTCTTGTTGAACTTTTTTTCATTGACATGTATGTTTTATTGCCTCTAGATTTCTCAGACAAGGATCTTGAAGACATGTTAGGGGGTGGCGACTACAAGCCTGACAAGAATAAAGGTAGGAACATTGAGACATGCAAGCTTGGCTCTGGCTCATCAGGTTATTATGTGGCAAACAGGTCAATTGAACCATTTTTAGCCTCAAGGAAGTGAGAGGTGGGACTGAGGGCTCCCATCTTACAAGCTGGGATACACCTGCCTGGGCCTGGCAGGCTGAAGGGAGGCATTGCTAACCACACTTGGCAGTAATGCACATTTTCTCTAATGTTCCTCAAGGCAAGGTGCTACATGGGCTCATGTTCCCAGGCTAACTGAAGCATGTGCAAGCAGCAGCACTGATGTTGTAGCTGGGCAGCAAAACCTGTGAGGCTAGCCTTCCTGCCCTGGCCACTCTGTCTCGCGTGAGAGGAGAGGAACAGGCAGTGTGCATCTCTACCCCCGAATGAGAGGAGGACTCCCAGTGAAACTGTGCTAAATATATCATGATGATAGCATGCAGGACGTCCTCCATTGATTATACCTGCAATTCCATGATACACTTAAACAGCAGAGTGAAAACAAGCAATTTTTGAGATGCATGGTGAGTCAAGAATCTTTCAGTGTGTCCTTTTCTTTTGGAATAGTTTGCTTCATGAACAAATATAAACATAACTTAGGAAGGTCTGTGTCTCCTGATCCAGCTTCTCCTGGTGATAGCTGACATAGCTGGAGTCTGTCGCCAGCCCTGGGAAGCTGGCTTCTGTACAGTGGTGATGTCCGCTGATGCACACATGCAGATCCAGGGCGAGTTTGCCTCTGTGCCTGTGTGCATTGCTCCGGAACATTGTATCACTTGGCAGGCTGAAATAGCTACATCACTGCCAACCTAAAAGGAGCTTCCTCATCTCAGCCCTGGGTAGGCATGTCCTGCCAGGATGCCAACTAACTCTTTAATTATGGTACACAGCAGCATGTGGTCCTAAGGAGAGCAGGGAATACCAGCCAGACTGTTGCAACAAAACAGCTCAGTGGTGTAACTTTGTGGCTGTGACTGTTAGGGTCCTACCTTCAGCTCATAAGTACGGCTCTACGCTGTAGCTATACCTGTTGTGACACCAACGTATCTCCAAGGTGAGTGGTCGTGGTTGTAGCTGTAGCTGTGGCTGTGATGTGTTGCGGCGGCAGGTTGCTGTTGTTATAGGAGTTGTGCATGTATCTGGTTGTAACCGTAGTATACTCCCCACAGTTTGGGCTGCGCTAAGAGGGTTTGCTCCTTTCCTGCAAAACCTGTGTGCTTTTCCTCTGGGAAAAAGTGTTTTCTTCTGATTAGGGGATGCTGTAGTCAAATTTGTCCTTCGAAACACCTTTCCTGACAGTGGCATCTCTAGGAAACAGAGAGCGCCCTAAAAGCCTCTAAATGAAACTTGCAAGTGTCAGGAGAACATGGAAGATTTAAAGGGCAAGCCTGGAAAATGAGCCAATTACTCCTGGGTGACAAATGGTATTTCCAGATGGCAAGGTGAGGGCAGTGGTAGCGTGTGGAAGCCTGCAGAAACAGTGAAGATCTGAATGACATGGCGAGAGCTTCTCCTTATTAAAATTCCATGTCTTACCAAGGAAGGAGGGTTGGGAAATTCTTTAATTAGGCTCATGTTTGAACTTGTCTTGTAAAGAATAATCAGTTGTTAGCTGATGGAGAGAGGGTGGGGGCAAGCTGACTCGGGGCTGCAGGATGCTTACAGTGGAATCTCGGGCTCTGTCTTCCAAGAAGGGCGTGCCTGCGGCGCGAACAGGGGCAGCACCACAGTTCACCAGGTTGGGATCTCCTGCCCGAAAAGAATCCTCACAAAGGCACTTTCCAGCCCGTGGGCCCTGGGCACAGATTCAGAATGCATTTCTGCATAATACTCATTTTATCTGTCATGTGTATTTTTTGTTTTCTGCTTACCTTCCCCTAGGGGGAGGTTCCATGAGTCCACCTGCTCTGCCCTCACACCCTTTATGCCCACCCTGGGCTTGGCTTGCCCTCTTCTCTCCCCAGCACTTCAAGACTGGTACACTTCAACTCCTTCCTGCTCCTCAGCCCCCGCTCACAGTCTGGTCCTGCGTGACTTTGCTACTCACTTTCCCCTTAACACTCTTTCCCATTAGGCGCTCTGAAACTCCTCAAGTGTTTCACTGCTCTCCTCAGCTTTCCCTACTCACACCCATTGTCACGTAGTGGATTTAATTCATAGATGCCTGATGCAGTACGTTGTTCCTAAGCCATGTGAGAGTGGTATTAGAAACCAAGATCTGAATGTGTCTACTGATTGTTGGAACATGGTCACTTCTAGCTCAACTGGGAAGGCCGGCAGACATAGGAAATACTCTGCTTGCTGTGTGTGTGTGTGTGTGTGTGTGTGTGTGTGTGTGTGTTTTAAGATTGATTTATTCTCATTGGAAAGACAGATTTACAGAGAGGAGAGACAGCAGAGAGAAAGATCTTCATCCACCGGTTCTTTACTTAGATGGCCGCAGTGGCCAGAGCTGGAGCTGATCTGAAGGCAGGAACCTCGAGCTTCTTTTGGGTCTCCCACATGGATGCATGGGCTTAATGACTTGGGCTACCGTCCATTACATTCCTAGGCCATAAGCAGAGAGCTGGATCAGAAGTGGAGCAGCTGGGACACAAACTGGTGCCCATATGGGATACCAGCACCATAGGTGGAGGCTAGGCCATTTGAGCCACCAGGCTGGTCCCTCTGCTGTGATTTACAGTATGTGAGGAATAACAGGCTTTAATTAAGACAGTATGTAGGGTAGGGCACCTCACACAGAGTGGTATTGTTATGCCCATGCCAGGGAGCTGCCTATGAGGAGAAGGGAAGGGAGGCCAAAGGTGGGTCCCCAAGCATGGTCAAGAGTGAGAAAAGGAGGAAAACAGTCTTCACAAAGCACATACATGTGTATATGTTGTTCTGTGTTTACTGATCAGTTCAGGTATGACGAATCACATAGACTCGGTGATTCAGAGAGCAGAGCTTCTCTGTTCGCAGCTGTGCCGGCGGAGAAGTCCAGGGTCCAGCGCCTGTAGATCAAGTGTCTCCTAAGTGTCGTTGCCCTGGTTGGTGGGTGGGTCCCTGCTTGTGTTTCACATGGTGAAAAGCAGAACTTGGGCAGCAAGCTATGATATTAATAACAGGGGTACTAATTCCATCATGAAGATTCGATGCTCATGACTGATCCACTTCCCAAATATTCCATTTATTTTTTTTAAATTTTACTTTTTATTATTATCATCTTATGATGTAGTTCCATAGGCCCTGGGATTTCTCTTACCCCTCCCCATTTCCCTTCCCCCTCTCTGAGTTCCCCTATATTAATACAACAGTATAGTTCTTCATAAACAGTCATATGTCCATCATTGCGGGCATGGACAATGGCAGAGAGTCCAGCATCCTATTATAAAAACATAGTAAACAGTTTCATTGGGAGTCCATCTTTGTCTAGAAGTAGAGATGCATACTATGTTGTATCCTCACATCTGGATATGATAGTCTCAATTACACAGCTACCATACATCCCCTTAAATGAAAAGCCACAAAACAAAATCAACAGGAACAAAAATAACAACACCCATGAAGTTAAATAATATGCTACTGAATGACTAATGTGTTACTGAAGAAATGAAAAAGAAAATAAAGAACCTTCTGGAAGAAAATGATGCTGCTGTATGATCTATGAGTCATTGAAGAATTTAATCAGAAGAGTGTTTTGAAGAGGTGAAACTAACAAAAAAAAAAAACAAACAAAATCCATGAGATATAGTTTCTGTTCATCTTTGTTGGTGAAATGTGTCTCCTGTAGGCAACAAATAGATGGGTTTTGTTTTTTGATCCAGTCTACTAATCTATGACGTTTGACTGATGCGTTTAAGCCATTTACATTCAGGGTTAATATGTATGGGTGGTAATTTTGTCCTGTCAGTTTAGCAATTGGTTGTTCGTTGATTTAGTCTTCTGTTGTTATTTTACTGGGATGTTCTTCACATGTGCTTTGGTTTTGTTGGGTGCTATTCCTTTTCTCTGTCAGGAGAACATCTTTAAGCATCATTTGTAGTGCAGGTTTGGAAGAGGCATATTCTTTTAATTTTTCTTGACTGTGAAAAATTTTATTTCAAGTTCAAAGACACAGAAAAGTTTTGCTGGATACATTATCCTATGCCGACAATTTTCTGGAATATGTCACTCCATTCTCTTCTTGCCTGTAGAGTTTCCTGTGAGAGGTCTCCTATGAGTTTAATTGGCATTCCTTTATATGTCAGTTAATTTTTTTCCATGTGCACATTTAAGGATCTTTTCCTTATTCGATTGAAGAGAGCTTGATGATCATGTGTCATGGTGAAGATTGCTTTTGATGAAGCCTGTTGGGAGTTAGTTCTATGCCCCTCCTGGATCTTGTTTCCCAATTCTTTCTCTAGATTAGGGAAATTTTCCTTTATTATTTCATTGAATACACCTTTAATCCCAGCTTTTCTTTCTGCACCTCCTGGGACTCCCATAACTCTGATATCTGGCCTTTTAATGGTGTCTTTCAATTCTTGAATATTTTTTTTTGGCCTGATCCAGCTCTGCTTCCAGCTTTTTGTTTGCTTCCCCCTGGTGACAGGAAATATCTTCCAATTCTGAGATTCTTTCTTCTGCCTCCTTCATTTTATTTTGGAGACTCTCCACTGTTCTTTTCATTTGCTCTACTGTGTTCTTCATTTCTAATGTATCAGCTTTCATTTGATTCATTTCCAGTGTGACATATTGCTTGAATTCCTTCAATGCCTGCTTTACGTGCTTCTCGTTATTGAAAACAAGTTTTATAACGAGTGTTCTGAATTCTGTATCCACCATTTTCTCAATGTCTCCCTCAGTTAACTCTAAGGTTGGCAAAGGATTTTGCTCCTTTGCAAGGGAGTTTTCAGTAATATTCATTGTGCCTTTGTCTCTTTTTTTTCCTCTTGCTCATTGTACTTCTGGTTAGCAGATTCCTCTCCTTGGGGCAGGTTTCTAAGCTCTGTCACCCACAGGTCTACAGTGCGATTTTAGT